TGGCACGTCTGGCTCTCAGGCTGTGCTCCGGGAGCAGGACCCAGGGACTGAGCAACAGCTAGTGCGCTGCTGGGAGGGTGGGAGGTGGGGGGAGAGAAAGGGGGCAGGAGGAACCTGCAATACTTAGCCCCACCTCCCTGGCAGGTGGCACAGCCTCCAGATCGCCTGGGTGGCATCAGCCATCACAGGTAAACGGGCACCGGGAGGACGGACCCGGGCAGGGCTGGGGCTCGGCGGGTGTGGACCTACAGCCCAGGCTGCTACAGGAAGCCTGCACTGCACAGACTGCAAATGAAGAGGCTTGTTGCAAAGGATTCTTAATAGTGAAATACTAAGCTGTTTCCCCAGACCCGACCCATTAGGAAGTACGGCTCATCCACCCGCCGCCTCGCAGTCACTTAGACGTGTGGAGGTCTGAACCACATGGACTGTGTTAGGAAGCCTGAGTAACAAGGCATGACTAAGAAACTATGCGTGTAGAATACCAAGGGTTTGTTAAACAGCTTCATAAAGACCGGAAAGCAAGATTTTGCAAAGTTCATAAGCAGTGTGCCTCTGGGTGATTGGAACTATGAGTAATTTTCCCCCCATTTCTTATATTTTCCAGTTTCAGCTATGTGCACGTGACTTTTTGAATTGGAAAAAATTGAGGGTTTTTTTTTTATAATGTATTTTTATTGATTTTAGAGAGGAAGAGAGAGGGATAAAAACATCAGTGTTAAGAGAGAACCATTGATTGCTGCCTGCACGTCCCCCCATGGGGACCATACCCTCCACCCAGAATCGAACCCAGGACCCCTCAGTCCACAGGCCAACGCTCTCTCCACTGAGCCGAACCAGGCAGGGCGAAATTGGGGGTTTTGAGGCTGTTTTTTAACAAGTGGCTCACAGCCTGTCTGATCTCAGGAGCCTGTCCAGCGCAAGAAGCGAGTTTACGTGGAGCAGGCCTGGAGGCCAGCCTGGGGGAGGGGGCACGGGGCGGTACCAGCACAGCTGACCACCGTCTCACCCTGCAGGGTGTCCCTGCAGCTGTGACCTTGTTTCTTGAAGGTGTGAGGTCTGCGTCCTCAGGTTTCCTGCTCCGGAGAGACCCACGCTGGCAGATGGAGCCGGAACCCAGAGGCCTTTAAATAGGCAGGAACCGAAAGAGGCCCCCTCCGCACCCACACTTCCTCCCCGGCCACTGGCCCGGAACCGCTCTGCCTCCCGGGGGCCCCAAACTGTCCCAGAGACGCAGAGCGGTCTGAGCTCGTGTGAATCCAGGCCTAGTTCCGGGTGCGGGCGCGTCTGGTGCCCTTTACGACGACAGCACCATCGGGGGGACCCTTCCTCCTCGGCTGCCAGGGGCTGAGCTGGCACTTCTCCACAACCCAGCAGCTCTAGCCGTCGCGTGTCCACTCCACTTTACAGGTGACGACACGGAGGCCTGGAAGGGCCACATGTCTGGGCCACACCCGCCGCTGCTACCCAGCGCCGCTGCACCCAGCACCAGGGCCCGGCCGACGGGGTGTCCTTTTCCCAGTTCACAGGGTGCTGGCAGGTGCTCAGCACCCAGGAGAGGCCATGGGGGGCAGTTCCCCCCTCATTCCTCTGGCTCACTCCATGAGCTCTGCAAGATGGCTCTTCGCACCTGACCGGCCTGTGGGAGCCTCCCGGCTACCTGCCGTGGTGAGGCACTGCCTCTGAAGCCTGCCTTTCTCATCCGCAGGATGGGTGAGAATGGACGCTCCCCGCGCGGGGACCTGCCGCAGACATGGAGCGGCTGGCACGCAGGCGGGCAGCGTCCTCGGTGCTCACGGCCCCTCTGATTCTGGACACCCTCAGGTTCGGTTCCGGTCAAGGGCAAATGCCCAGCGTTGCGGGCCCGATCCCCAGTTTGGGGCAAGCAGGAGGCAGCCAATCAATGATTCTCTCTCATCATTGATGTTTCTATCTCTCTCTCCCTCTCCCTTCTTCTCTGGAATCAATAAAAATACGTATTTTTTATAAAAAAGAGTGGAGTACCCTGGTACCTACCGGGTAGGGTTATTTTGAGGACAAAAGGAAGTAGTGGCCATAGAGCACACCTGCCCCACAGCTTTTCAAACCGAGAATCTCCGGGCTGCCTCACCAGAGGGGACAGCCCCGCAATGCCCACCTGCCCGGAGGCCCGCCTCACGCTGTGGCCAGGCCGTGTCCACGGGCCTGCTGCCCTGCCGGAAGGGAGCCGCTGCCCAGCACGCCCGGACTGACGCCCAGGCCCAGGAGAAGGCCAGCCCCCAGAGGGGTCGGGGACAGCCTCCTTGGTCCGATGTCTGCGTCGCATCTGGGCACTGGCCCCTCATGCTTCCCGGCTCAGGTCCCGAAGGCCCACAGAGCCCCCTCCGCCGGCCGGCGGCTCCCCGCTCCCCGGAATGACAAGCAGCTCCCGGTGGACAAACCACTGAGATCCGGCCAGCAGCGCCTTTCCTCCGGGGTCCCCTGTGCGCCTGGCTGCTCCCCGGCTCTGTGCCCTCCACCAGGCGGGTCAGGGCCAACCCCGCCCGGCAGGCACGCACGGGGCGAGTGCTCCAAACTGCTGTGCCGGCCGGCCGGGTCCGGTTGGCTCCACAAGGTGCCTTTCATCCTGGCGGCCAGCGGCGGGCGGCCTCCTCCGCTCACACACACTGTGACTCAGACCCACGGCCTGTCCAGCGCGTCCCCACCATCCTCCCCGACACTCCAAACCGCCCGCGGGCCCGGCGCGGCTCGGAAGGCCCTGTGCCCGCGGTAACCACCACCACCTGCGAGGAACGGAACAGGTGGCCACAGCTGTGGCGTGAAGACAGGGTTTCCTGAGCCACTGGACGCACACGTGGCTGGTCCCGGGGTCACAGCGGGTGCTCGGGCCAGCCCTCAGGCCCTCTCTCTGAACACCCGTCTCATCTGGAGAGAGCCGGGAACATGAGCCCTACGAGGGGGCTAGATTCCCTTCTCCTTGACCCATCCCCTTTGTTTCCCAGCCCAGAGCACTGTGCTGAGTGCTCACCGGGCCCCTGCCCTGCATGTGCCTGTGCGGACCGAGGAGGTGGCAGACTGGGCAGTGCCCGCACGGCCCCTTGCTAACTAGGAAGAAGCCACACAGAGACAGCGCCGCCAGCACCTGAGCATCCAGCGGACACGCACCCTGTCCCCAGGCGCAGGCGGTAGGGGGGTGGGGGGCAGGGAGGGGCAGAAGGGCTCCCCCAGGCTGGAGGGGAGACCTGAGGCGTGTGCAGGGCAGGTGAGCAGGGGTGGTCTTTCGGGCGGAGAAAACGGGAGGCCTAAGGGTGCAGCGCCTCAGAGCAGGGCCGAGTTCAGGCGAGTGTGGGAAGGGGAGGGTAAGACGGAGACCTGTGAGGAGGGAGGACTGGGACAGGAAACGGAGGAATAGCGTGACCAGCAGGCTCTGCCCTCGGCCTACGACCAGGGGCCAGTTCTCCCAGGTGCAGCTCAGTAGGTGCAGCCAGGCCCGGCTGGGACATGGGGGAGGGGGCGGGATCCGGGTGACTGGCTGTCCCTGGAACCTCAGGCAAGATTCCGGCAGCGAGCTGACAGCACACAGAAGGCACCTGGCACACAGTAGGGACTCAGCGAATGCCAGCTGCTGGAGCAAACTGTTACTGCTCTCCGGGGCTGGCCCTCGGGCTCCTGGGGGGGGGGGGGTGCTCAGGGGTCAGAGGGCAGCGGGAGCATGTGGACAGGGGTGAGGGGAGGGGCTGCCCGGAGCAGCTGAGCAAAGGGCGGAAGGGCTAGAGCAGATGGCCCCTCAGACCCCTCCCATGTCAGACACTCTGTGCCAGGTGACAGGTGGGCACACAGCCTGGCACACAGTAGTGCTCAGTGAACGTCCACTGAATGAATGAATGCAGATCCTTTCATTTCTGCTCAGAGCTCAGCTGTGACCCTTCTCAGAAAAGACACCTATGTCCGTGTCCACCGCCGCCCAGGACCTGCTCCCAGGGGAGGGCCTGGGGCTCAGCCTGCCCTCACACAAAGAACAGGCATGAGTCCTCTCCGTCCACCCTCCAGGGCGTGGCTGCGGAGGGCCTGGCCCCGGGGCTGCCGTGTCCCTGCTGCCCTGTGCCTCTAAGGGGAGGCGTGGGCTCCCGGGACTCAGTTTCCCCGGTGGTGAATGGAGGGTGTGCTGGCTCACGCTCCAAGGCTGACATTCCTTGGAGCCACGCAGAAATCCCAGCCCCGAGGCGGGGAGGGTGGGTGGGGGCGGCAGACGGCGTGCTATGAAGTCATTCCCGCAGGAAGAAGGGAGGGTCTTTCCTGAAGAACAAGGCAAACCCGCACTCAGGGGAGGGGGCTGCTGGGATCCGGCAGCACGGATGACCTCACCCCAGCCAAGCCCACCCACCCACCCCTGCAGCCCCCTCCCGCCGCTGCCCCTGGGGCAGCCGCTCCCTCTGCCAGGGGGTTTGGGGGGAGATGTGTGGGGGCGCAGACACCGTAGCCCAACAGGTCCCCCATCGGAGCGAAGGGCCGGACGAGGGCAGGACAAAGGCTCGGAAGCCAGACGTGTCCCGCGGGGGCCGTGCCCGGGGCACACCTGCCGGGAGGTGGGCCGGAGCCCGGGCCCGGGTCCGCAGTGACAGCCGGGGTCTCCCCGAACCCAGCGCCCGCTCCCTGCGGGCCCCGAGGCCCGAGGACTTCCTGGGGCGGGAAGGGCCGGCGGCGCCCGGGAAGGAAGGAGGAAGCCGCCGGAGAGGACGCCGATGACCCGGGAAATGAAAGCCGCTCCGGGACCGAGATCCGGGACGGGGACGGAGGGGCGCGGGGACCTGGGGGCGAGGGGGGCACACGGCCCGCAGGGGGCCGCACACACGGCAGGGACAGAGACACACAGTCAGAGACACACAGAGACACAGGCACCGAGACACGCTCCGGACGGAGACGCGCAGACACCGGAGAAGCGCCCGGCCCCGCCGCCCCGGCCCCGCCGCCCCGGCCCCGCCGCCCCGGCCCCGCCGCCCCGGCCCCGCCGCCGCACTCACCGAGGCCGCCGACCTCGCGGCGCAGGCTGAGGCGGCCGCGCTCCTCCGCAATGGCGCGCAGCATGCGCTGCAGCGAGCGCTCCTCGGCCTCGGCGCTGCCCGCGGGCTCGGGGGAGGCGGCGGCGGGCGGGACAGGTGGCCCGACCCGGAGCCCCGCGGGCGCGGGCGCCGAGGCGCAGGCCCAGCCCGGCGGCCGCGCAGAGGCCATGCCGGGCCCCGGCTCATCGCCCGCGCCGCGCCCGCGGGGACACCCGGCGTGCCCCGCCGCCCCCGCCCCCGCCCCGGCGCCGCCCGCCGCGAGCACCAGAGAAGCCACAACCGCCTTTGTGCGCGCCGCCGCCGCCGCCGCCGCCCGCTGAGCCGAGGCGAGCGCACCTCCGCCGCCTCCGCCCGCGCGCCTCACGGCCGCCGCCCGCCCTCCAGGCCCCGCCCCGCCCCGCCCCACGCCCCCGCCCCGCCATTAGGCCCCGCCCCTCCTCACGCCCCGCCCTCCAGGCCCCGCCCGGACCGCCAGGCCACGCCCACACCGCTTCCCGCCACTTTCGGACTCACCTCTGGCTTCCCTGACCCGCCCCTGATTCTCCAGGCCCCGCCCCTAATATCCTCCAGCCCCGCCCCACCCACAGGGCCCGCCCCCAGCCCCCGCTTCCTCCGCCCAGAGTCCGCGCCGGCCGGTCTCTTCCCCCTACAACCCTCCCGCCTCCTCCCTCTTTGGCCCCGCCCACTCCCACTCTTCCGCAAATGGCCCTCGTGATCCCGCCTCGAACCCCAGCCCAGGGTCTCCTGACCTTCCCCGGCCCCTCACGCCTGTGGCCGCTCACCTTCTCCAGGCTCCGGCCCCAGGCCCTCTCTGAGACCGCTCTGCTCCTGACCCCTGCGGCCGTGCGAGCCCGCCTGTCTCAGCCTCCTGCCCCTGCTCTCCTCCTCCTGCCCCAGCCAGATGGACTGTCACCCACCCACCCTGCTCCTTGTCAACCTCCCTCTCGCCACCAGGTTGCAAAGACCAGTTTCTCTGAGAACTTCCTCTGAAGAACCCAGAAATGGGTCCCACCCATCCCCCATGACGAGGTCTCAGGCCAAGTCCTAGCCACTGTCGCTCTGTGAATCAGTCCTCATACTGAAGGCTCCTGGGGTTCGATTCCCGTCAAGGGCACATACATTGGTTTCAGGCTGGATTCCTGGCCCTAGTCAGGGTGCGTGCAGGAGGCAACCAATCCGTGTGTCGCTCACACCAATGTTTCTCTGTCCTTTTTCCTTCTACTCACTCTCTCAAAAAAAAAATTAATGGGAAAATATCCTCAGCTGAGGATTAACAACAAAAAAAGGGTCTCAGAGCCCTTCCTGCCCACACTGACTGCCCACCTGGCACCGCGCGGGAGTGACGAAGGGCTTTGTGGGGGTGCGCGAGGGTTGGTAGGTAGGTCTGAGGGGGACGGAGGAGGTAGGAGGTCAGCTGGGCATGTGATCCGATGAAGGTCCAGATCCGGCCTGGCGTCCATCCATGTGCTGGCATCTGCAGACAGGAAGAGCTGGGTGAAGCAGCCAGAGGCCTCCCCCAGACCACGCCCCCGGGCGGCCCACTTCCAAGGACGGGGGAGCGGGGGATGGAGTGACCCAGCTGGGCCCCAGCCAGCTGAGTCTCCAGTCACCCCTGCAGGCACGCTAGCCTCCATTCCTGATCCAGCCGGCCTGCAGGCCCCACCCTGCCCTCCTCCCGTCCCTTGTAAAACTCACTTCCTCAAAGAGCCTTCCTGCTTCAGGCCTCGCCTCTAATTCTGTGCCCCTGTCTGGGTCCCCAGCCCTAGGCTTGGGGTGGGGACCTGCTGGGGGCGGGGCTTGCTCTGTAAAGAGGCGTGGAGTGAGGTGAGGCGTGAGGCGGGATTAGCACCATGAAGGATGGGCTGTGGGTGTATCTCTCTCCTCCAGGCCCGTGTCCCCGCCTGTCAAATGGGACTCTGGCCTGAGGGGTAAGGCTCGTTCTGAGCCTGCACAGCTGAGGCTGGAGCTGGGGCAGAGAGAAGTGGAAATGTCTGCGCGAGGCTCAGAGCCGGCACGCCCAATGGTCACAGCCCGCCTGTTTCCCCAAACTCGTGCGCCCTGTCTGTTCCCGCTTCCATCGCCTGGCTCCGGCTGTCCCCTTGCTCCACACCCTTTGCCTTCACTACTGTCCTCACTGCTGTGCTCACCATCCCAACCCGCTTTCCCCGAGGAGCCAGCTGATTGGGTTTGTCTGCTCACACACTCCCTCCCTGCACCCGCTCACCCCAGCGCTGCCCCCACAGACTCTGTGCCCCTGGACCAGGATCGAATCCACGAGCCTGCATTTCCCAGCCTCCGGCCCCGGCCGGGCGCCAGCACGTTTGCTGAGCGAATACGTGAGCATCTCTCGGGCTCCCTCTTTTCCCCTCCAGAGGGACTGTCTTCCTGTCCGCAAGCCTGGAGTCCTGTTTTGGATGCACAGAGGGCATGAGCAGGGTGCCGGGGGCCACGGGGCATGTTCTGCTTCTGGGTTTGGGTGCTGATTTCATGGGGGGGGGTCAGTTTGTAAAAATCAAGCTGCAACAGCGATTTTTTTAAATTTAAATTCTTTGTTGTTGAAAGTGTTACATATGTCTTCCTTTCCCCCCATTGACCTCTCCCCGGCCACTCCCCCCCCCCCCCCCCCCCGCCTGCAATGGCAGCTTAGGCACCTCTCCATACACAGATAGAAATGGTTTTGCCCTGGCTGGTAAGGATCAGTGGTTAGAGCGCCCGCCTGCAGGGTCTTGGGTTTGATTCCCGATGGAGGGTATGTACCAGGGTTGTGGGTTCACTCCCTAGCCCTGGTTGGAAGAGACAACCAGTTGGTGTGTCTCTCTCACATCAATGTTTCTCTCTCTCTCTCACCCGCTCCTCCCCTCCCTCCCTTTCACTCTCTCTGAAAAGCCATGGAAAAATATCCTCAGGTGAGGATTAACAAAAAATAAAATAAAATAAGATTTCAAAGCCTTGATAAAAACGCTGGCTTAGCCGTATTTGCCATGACGATGAAGATGTCCTTTCCTTCGAAAGCCCCCTGGGAGGAAAAGGGTGTCGCAGACTGATGGCCCCACGGTGCCCACCCCTCACTGAGGGCCCGGGGACCGTACGCCACCTTACCTGGCAACACGGGCTTTTGCAGAAGTGACTTGGGTTTGGCCTTTGAGATGAGACACGATCCTGGGTCGTCCACGGAGGCCCCGTCCAACCACACAAACCGTCCACCCTGGAGGTGGCGTCCCGGCCGAGGTCAGACAGAGGTGACGGCCGGAGGGGAGGGTGCGCTGGTGCTGGCCGCCCAGGTCACGGAGCGCGGGCGGCTTCTAGAAGCGGGAGGAGACAAAGAACAGATTCTCTCCCAGAGCCAGCTCCCCGCCCGAGGTCAGGCCGGGAGACCCGCCTGCAGGACCGCCAGGGGACACGGGTGTGTGTGTGTGTGTGTGTGTGTGTGTGTCAGGGCTGACTTAGTTTTGTGACAGAAAGCCAATTCCGCGAGCAGCCCTGAGATGAAGAGGGCACTGTCTTTCCCTCTCGCTTCCACTTCTCCCCCCACGTCTCCCTGGCCTCACCCCATTGGAGTGGAGGGCCTGGGGCAGAGCGGCCGGCCCAGCGGAGCCCGTGGTGTGGCTTTCCCTGCCTTTGTGGGACCCTTCCTCCACCAAGAATAGTACTAAAGCCCTAACCGGTGTGGCTCAGTGGACAGAGCGTCGGCTTGGGGACTGAGGAGTCCCAGGTTCGATTCTGGTTGAGGGGCATTACCTTGGTTGCGGGCGCATCCCCAGTGGGGGGTGTGCAGGAGGCAGCTGATCGATGTTTCTCTCTCATCGATGTTTCTAACTATCTCTCTCCCCTCCTCTCTGTAAAAATTCAGTAAAAAAAAAAAAAATAATATATATATATATATATAATACTAAAAAACAATTATCGATAGATTAAAGCTATTTTTACGACTGCTTTGATATACAATTATAGTAAAAACAGGTATGTCAGAGTTTTTGCTAGAATGTTTCCTTCTGCATAAAAGTCCATTCTTCTGACTCTTAGTTGTGGTGCATGCGTTCCCATAGAGCCAGCACCGCCCTGCTCTAACCGCCGCGGGGTGCCGCCAGGGGACGCCAGACACCACGCGCGGCCCCACTGGGCAGCTGGCAAGGGAGCTGAACGAGGGCAGCGCATCAGCAAGCAGGGTCCTGCTCTGGAGGCTCCGGCCCGCCCACTGCGGCCCCCAGAAGCCCACTCCATGCGCCTCGCGCCCCTCTGCCCCCTGCAGGGCCCAGCAGAGGTGCCGTGGCCTCCAGGAGGTCTTCCCGACGGCAGCTGGGAGGCGTCTCCCCTGGGCCCACAGCCCCGGGCCCTGCCCGCCGGTCAATGGGCATGGAGTCCCGGGCTGGGATGGGCCTGGGTCCCCAGGGCCCCTGGGAATTGTTGTCAGGTGAGTGACCCAGGGAGCGGGGAGCCCCATGCAGCCTTGCTTAGGGGGACGGCCACAGACGCTCAGTAATGGGGCTCCCACCCCTCCAATTCGTCCTCAGTCTGCACCCCATGAGGACCCCCATTCCTCTGCACCCCCTGAGGACCCCCCATTTCTCTGGAGGCTCAGGACGGGCCCTCCCAGCCTGCAGGAGAGATTCGTCGTCAGACCGTGACAATAGCAAAGTGCTCAGATGTTGGGAATTATTTCCTTACAGTCAGTGAGTCAGAGATTCCGTTAGCCCTGTAATCATCAGTTTCATGCCCGAGTTTTTATTTATTTCCATCACTAGTTATCCCCCATCGCCTTCTCCACTTCTGTCCACCCCCTCCCTCCTGTGTTGTGACCTTGTGGAGGGGTGGGCCTGGCCAACGAGGTCAGAGGTCGTGTGTCTGGCTGAGGTCAGAGGTCGTGTGTCTGGCTGGCAGGCGGTTTGGGGAAGGCTGGATGTGAGCACCCCGCCTCCTGCTCCCCAGGGCCCCCTGCTGGCCTCAGGCTCCAGGGGCACCGTGACTGTGGCTCCTGGCCCAGCCCGGGCTAGCTGTATGACCGGAGGAGAGCTCCCCAGCTGCTCTGTGACTCAGTTTCTTTGTTAGTAAAACGGACTAGGGGCATCAGAGCCGGGCCTCCCCCCATCCTCAGGGAGACTGAGGAGACAATGGCTGCCCAGCACGGAGCGGTGCTGGGAGACGGGCCCATGCCATCCTCCCTTTCCCTTTCGGGTTGGAAGCCGGGATTCTACTCTCACTGGCCCCTCAGCTTTCCCGGGGGATGCGCCTCAGCTGTAAACACAGGGCAGTGGGGACGCTTCCCCCAGGGTCGGCCACGCACACCATTGCCCCAAACCCCTGTGTGCCAGGC